TTCATCATCAATTTCCCGAGATCCTCTGTCATTCCTTCCCATCATGTGCAGTTTCTTGGCTTCGAGATCGACTCGGATCTCCGGAAGGCGCTTCATCTGACTCATGTCTCCCTGCGCTCTCTGGCCAGGATTGTGGGTCTTCTCTCCTCTTCCATTCAGGCTATTTTTTCCGGGGCCTCTTCATTACTGAGCCCTCTTACGATCTACTGGTTCCTATGACAGGCGATGTCTGTGTCGGGCTCACGTGGTGGCATGGGACGGTGATTTTTTCGGCACTTAGCCAGACTTCGTACTGGACTTGGATGCCAGCCTGTGGGGCTTGGGCGCATATTGCGCAGATTTGGCTACAGGCGGGCGCTGGACACCGAAGGAATGCTTCTTGCACATCAACTGCTTGGAGCCTCTAGCTGGCTGCCCAAAGTTTTTTTCCATGGGCCTATCGAACTGTTCTATTCTTCTGCGTATGGACAACGTCCACTACATCAATCGTTTGGGGGTGTGCCCGTTCTGAGAATTGTCCACTCTCACGAAGGACCTTCCACTTTTGCTTCAACAGGCACCTTTTCCTCTCTGCCGCATACCTTACAGGTCTGGACAATTTCATGGCAGACATTCCTGGTGTTCCGGATGGTTATTCTTTTTTCAACCTGTTTTGTTCATGGGGACTGTTTCAAAGAAAGAGGAGGATCTTGGTGTGGGCGGACTTATATAATATGCTGTGTGCTGCTATTGGTTATTTCTGTTATGTTTCTTTGCTGTTATGAGGAATCAGTAAAGAGAGATATGCAAAATATTCGCCTCCTGTCTTTAATAAAATCCCGATTATTCGGTCACTAACGCTAGAATAATCAACAATTTCTCTGTTGTATCTATGGAAGAAGCCATGGTTGTTGCATAGGACTTTAAACATGTTTTGCCCTTGTTTATCTTCATTACATGGTAGAATTATGGCATGAGTGGTTTACACAGAAAAGATAAGGATGTTTGTGCTTTCTTTTCAGCTGATAGGAAGGGAGAAGGACATTGCATTTCTGGCAAGATCAACAGGTATTTTCTGTACCTGCTGAAAATGTCCATAGCCTAAAAAAATTAAAACTAATACAGCCACCATATCTAAGGACTGGTAAGCTGAAAGATGTAAAATTTTGTTTTTAGATGTAGATATGCTTTAAAAGATATTTATATGATTGTCTGACCTTTTTTTGTGTTTTTTTGTTTTCAGTATGGAGCTGAATTCAGACGGTTTTCCATAAATCGGTACAAACCAGGAACATTTGAGGAATTCTACAACCTTATACTTCAAGTCCATAATATCACCAATGTGGATGTCATGCTTGGCTATGCAGATATTCATGGTGATCTTCTACCCATCAACAATGATGACAATTTCTTTAAAGCTGTGTCAAGTGCCAACCCCCTCTTAAGAGTATTTATTCAAAAACAAGGTAATGTCTGTTTTTTTTTTTTTTTTGTTTTTTTTTCCCCTTTAGCGGCAATGATAGACCTTTTTAGATATAGATGTTTTGCCAGCATTTTTAAATCAGATCAATGATTGAAGGACCCATTTTTTAATACTTGAAGTAGATTGTGTTGGTTTGCCAACCAGTGTATTTTCCACTGTTACAAAGTGGCCGAACTGTATTCCCAATACATAGGTTTTGTAATGTAAAGGATTGGTTGCAGACATTTGAAAATGGTCCTACTGCGAGAAGCAACCCCCCCCTTTCCCAAATCCAGTCCCCATAATACACACATACAAAGTTGTCTTTTATGAGCATGTTTCTGTATGCCCTCTCTGTAGTATCTGTCTTTTTACTGAAATAAAAGTCAATAAGGAACCTTCCAAAACAAATTCCGAACTAGCAAATCACCCGTTTATCTCTTGGTGGTGAACAAAGCATGTCTGTTGTGCCCCATTGGGGATATTGCCTACTGTTTGCAGGCAATAGATTGCAACAACCTCCTTACCTGTATAGCCAGCATTAAAATACACTGGATATTGTATGTATTTTTTTGCTGTAGGAAGAATAGTCATTGATCATTCTCTTATGAAACTCAGTTAATGTCTATGGAAATCTAAAGCTGGCCATTCAGTCCACAGAGCAGGCTGCCAACTACACCTAAACTTCTGGTCTGTGCGGCAAAAAATTGTAATATTCATGTGAATAGCTATATCCGAAGAATACAATTATTTGGCATCACTGTTTGAAGTGGTGCATTGTATGGCAAACAAAGCAAAAGGCATATTACTGCCAACAGTTAGGGATAAATACGGTAATTATAGATCATATTCTCTGTCCTGCTTTTTCCGTATGGATAATTATCTGGTGGAAGTGTCTGGATAGTTTGTATGGGTTTTATAGGTTTATTCTCAAACCTTCACATGGTTTTTGACTGGTAATGGATATGTATTGTAACCAAGGGAATTAGCCTGCTATTTTGCCTATTGTGATTGCCTATTAAAGATTACATTTTCCTTTTCTGTAGCTTCCTAGGCTTGAAGGATTAAGATTGTAATTTAGATAGCTAGAGGTCAATGAGCCTTGGTGAGTCACTGACAAATTTCTATTTGCTTGAATGTGGCATTTAGTTGAAAAGATATTGCCTGCAGGGTGGTAAGAGATGCCGCAATTGGAGATATCATAGCGTGCTGGATGTGAGTAGCTTGTGCGCATAATTATTAGTGTATGGAAGGGCAGACTGACAGAGCAGCTGTGTTAAACTTTGCAAGACTATCAGACTCATTTCATGGCTTCATTGGCTTACACAAGGCTTCAGGGATTTATGTTAAGTGTTTTACAAGGCCTCGTTGTCAGACTGCAGCTTATGTGACATTTCTGGCCCTTGCCCCCTTCCTATATTCTAGAAGTAACTTCAAGTCTGAACATGACCTTTCCTGGCCTCTTTAGAAGGAATCTGTGTAACACAATTAACCAATAAAGTGCTATAAAAACCATGAAATAGAATTTAACCCTACCACAAAAACAGCCCTCAGAAGCCTATTAATGAAAGACGCCTGGCTACACATCTGATGTATACAATCACTTATAAAATCATCATTTCTTTTTCACTAGTTAGATCTTTATTTTCTTGGCATGTATATTTATGTGGGTACTGTGTCCCAAGAACATCTGCTTTTGAAATTGGAAGTGGAACTAACCTCTAATCTTAGACAAATGGTTTGTAAGGATGAAGTTGCCATATCCCTTTCCCTCTCAATACGTACTGTTGTGTCACTAGCAGTTTACAACGTAACAAAAGCATTAAAGTACAATTTGCAATAGAGCAGTAACTCTTAGCAAGCATTCATAATTTTATTTTTCACTGATTTAACTTCACTAATGCTATGGTTACTGACATTTGTTCTGTGCATTGCTTTATTGGCTAAGCCTATTACTGGAGTTTCATTAGCTCTAAAAGAGCCATCTACATGGAGAGAAGGTGACTAGTCTTCCTTAACCCCCCACCCTTAGGGTACCATAGCTGTGTATGGGTGAGTCAGAAAAAAACCAAACTACTGCCATGAAGTTGGAGCTTTGTAACTCTGGGTGTGGGCATGAAGTTGGAGCAATCCTTTTCTTTTTACTTTTTTTAAAAACTTTTTATATAGAGAATTTACATTTGTCATATAATTTTAATATGCATTTAAAACAAGGACCAAATTGTAATAATGTCTTCCAAGGACGACACAAGAAACTCATTTTTACCATAGTAAACAAAATGAAAAGATGCCTTGCTGAGAAACAATGCTGAAAATAATGCATACATTTGTGATTGCCCTGTGACCTGTTTTGTTAGATTGTACCTCCATATTACTAAAACACCCGATTCCTAGTGGTCTTGAAGCTCATCTCTTGGCAAGACCTAACCCCTCACTCATACACTAGTTTTCTTGTTTTTTATTCTACTTTTTTACCTTTTGGGAGAGTTTTTTATAGATATACCTAATGTTGCCATCTGGGTCCCTTGCTGATGCTGTTTTTAGTGTGGAGAATAGGTATCCAGGCTCTGCAGATGTGCCTGCGCCGGCCTATTTCCAATGCTCCCCTGGTGCTGACGCTATTGCCCACAGACTCTCTTTTGGTACCTTGGGGGACCCCAGTGCTGGACAGCCAATAGGAAGTGTCCACATCATGCAAGCAGTGATTTGGACACCTGAGTAAAGACCCCCCCCACCCCCCTTCTGTAAACAGGAGAGGAGAGAAGACTCGGCACTGGAGGATCACATGACCATGGATTTAGGTGAGTAAAAGGGGGTTAGGGATAGTTTTTGGTTTTTATACCAACGATCTATTAGGGGGTGGTGGAGGGGGAGCCCAAAGTTCAGCTTTAAGGTGACACCAAGTTTAAAAATTAGGGCTGTGGAAATTAAAGATTAATTTCTCGATTAATCGTTAAACTTTTTGATTAAAATTATTTTGATCGCGTCCCGCCGGCGATCCGGTGACGTCACGGACATCGACGTCATTGGACTCCTCCCCCCTTCCCTCCGTTAGCCGTCACGGACATCGACGTCATTGGACTCCTCCCCCCTTCCCTCCGTTAGCCGTCACGGACATCGACGTCATTGGACTCCTCCCCCCTTCCCTTCGTTAGCCGACGGAGCCACTTGGGGAAGGGGGGAGGAGTCCGGTAACGTCGATGTCCGTGACGTCACTGGACTCCCCCCCTTCGTTAGCCGACGGAACCACTTGGGCCGGTGAGTTTGCCCAAGAAACTTTCTGCACGAGCGCCAGCCAATGCATTGGACTATACACATACAGCACAGCAAAGTAATAAAATGAACTAGGATCACACTAATCCAGCACGTTATTATTCGGAGTTGCCCCACTCAAGCTGCAGCCATATTGAGTGGGGCACGTGAGAATAATAACGTGCTGAATTAGTGTGATCCTAGTTCATTTTATTAATTGCTGCGCTGTATGTGTATAGGCCAATGTAGTTGGATCTGTATGTGCGTTATAATTAATCGATTAAAAATTTTTTTTTAAACATTTTGATCGAACACGAAAATTTTAATCATTACCAGCCCTATTAAAAATGGACTATAGGCTACCTGGTCCACCATAGAGATACTTGGCAGCTGGTTCCATCTTGATGCAACTGGCCACTGTTCTGTGACAATTCTGTTTTTCTGCCATAGCTAAGTGCTGCTTCAGTACAAATCAAAGGCCTCTGTCTCATCCAGAAACTACTGTTGGCCATGGCGAAGGCCCAGATTTGTACCAAGCTGCAGCTGTTCAGAACAGCAAGGGGAAGCAGCTGACATAAAGTAGATCTAAATCCAGTTACTAAAATATGATATAGTCACATATTATCTTGTCGTCATTTCAAGTTTTTTTTGTTTTTTTCCCCATTCTTTTCAAATATGCAGGTGATCTCTAGGCAGATAGAAAAGAAACATGAATGCACCTCTGTATTCATTAATACATCATTAAATTTATTTTTAAATGCAACTACTGAAACTACCTTAATTTAATTTTGCAATCTACTGTATAGCAGCTCTCATACTGGGAGAGTGAAGGGCAGAACTGGCAACCAGACCGGTTCGTTGCATGTAACTATAATGACAAAGAACATGCTTACCGGAAAAGAGAGCAGAGTTAGACAGATGACCTCATGAGTTTGCTGCTGCTCTTTTGCTGTCCATTCAGGAGGCGGGGGTTGGGAGATGGCATCATTTGTATATCTTACCTGTAGAAGAGAAAGTAGTCTTTCTCAGGAATCAATGGACAGAATGCAAAAGCTTTGGCAAGTAAAACTGCTTCCTTTTATGTATTTTTTCTATGCGAGATATTTGCCTGACTTTCAGGTTTTAAACAATTTAAAAAAAGTTTTTTTGCTCAGACTGCTATGGAGTTACAACTATCACCCAGTCATCCTGTCACATTGCGCAGACGTGATCCACTGATGTCATTATCGGAAGACTGGTCCAAAGCATTGGCGTGCAGCCATTACTAGAGCAAGTGCATGTAGACAGGAATTGGTTGAAATTGACCAGCGTGCTACTGATCTAGTAGTGCTGAGGTGCCAAAAAAAGTAGTAAAAATTGTGTTTTTATTTACAAAGATGCCAAGTATTTTATACAGGTTGCTGTAGCAAACTAAATTTAATTAAGTTAGGGTTTAATTATCTACTTTAAACTAGGTTGATTTAGTTTTTTCACTGTAGTTGCACCAGTAAGGTCTTACATAGTATTTGAGGTTGAATAAAGACATTAGTCCAAACAGGTCTGTTGCAGTTAATTTAATGCAATCACTATGCTTTATGGCAGCTCATTCATTTAAATGGGATGCCTTACACACCACAATTGACCAGAAATCAGACCTGCCGCATCTTTGATAGCCCACCACAATACACTGTAGTGAACTGCAATGCAAGGTAACACTACTAAGGAAGTACATTAGAGTTCCATGGCACTGCAGCATAACAAAGCATGTAATGT